AAATCAGAAAAATCTCATTGCAAGTGATGCATAAACTCTGAAACATCACTTATACATTGACTATTCATATTATCTGGGAAATCAAAGGGACATATATTCAACAACATTGTTTAAAAGAATTAAGATACTACAAAAATTTGTAAATTTGTCAACTCCACATTGAATTTGAAGAAAAAGTGTTACTGGAAAACCACATTGAAAAAGATGCTAAGTCACACAATTCAAATAGCAGAGGAGGTAAAAACAGTTCAGTCACTGAAGAACATCAGTGAAGGTGACAGTTGAGGGCACAAAATTCAGAGGTGGGCATGGAAATAAAAATACTTTCTTTGCTATCCTTTATTGAGAGGTTTGAATCTTTGGAAAGCAAAAAACCATTTCACAATCAGTACACAGAACGGTTTGCACCTTGTCTTGGATTACACAATGCACTCTATGCAACTTCAGGACATGCGGCTCTGGTGATTTGGTGCTGAGTCATACTTCAGAATAGAGAGCTCTTGACTTCATCAGTTAAAAAATGGAAAACTCAAAAAAAAAATAAATCTTGATTTGATAATCATCACTGACCAAGAAATAAGGCACATCTCTCTTGAATTTGAAGACATGATAGCATCACATGAGAGCAAAACTTTGCCAACTGTAGTTGCTAGCACCACCTTCAAGCTGCACAGCCTTTTGTATGCTGGGGAGCCAAGCTGCTGGCCAGTGTTGCCTGCTACTGATTTCCTCTAATAGTCATAACTTCTGTCTGGACCATTTCTAACTGAACATGCTAAACCTGTGCTTTAATAGGATCTGAATGATAAAATAATAATAACCATCAAAACATAAGGAATAAATGCCTGCCCAATCTAATGGCCTTCTATGGTGGAATGCCTCCATCAGTGGACAAGAGAAGGGCTGCAGATGTCATTTATCTGGATTTACGTACAGCCTTTGACATGGTCCCTTCACAACATTCTTCTCTCTGAACTGGAGGGAGATGGATCCAATTCCATACTGAATGATGGATAGGAAAATGGTTGGATGGTGATATCCAGAGGTTAATGGTCAATGTCTCAGTGTCCCAGTGGACATCAGTGACAAGTGGTGTCCATCAGGGGTCTGTACTGGGATCAGTGTTATTTGATATCTTCAATAATGACACAGATGAAGAAATCGAGCGCACCCACAGCAAATTAGCAGATGACCCCAAGCTGGGTGGTGCTGTTGCACTCCTGAAGGATGGAATGCCATTCAAAGGGACCTGGACAAGCTTGAGAAGTGGGTTCATTGGAATCTGATGAGGTTTGACAAGGCCAAGTGCTGGTGCTGCACCTTGGGACACCCCTGGTATCAGCACAGGCTGGGCATGAACAGACCCAGAGCAGCCCTGCCCAGAAGGACCTGGGGGTGCTGTGGGTGAGAGGCTGGACATGCCCTGGCCATGGCACTCACAGCCCAGAGAGACAAACGTGTCCTGGGCTGCATCCAGAGCCCCGTGGGCAGCAGGGGAGGGAGGGGATTCTGCCCCTCTGCTCTGCTCTGCTGAGACCCACCTGCAGCACTGCATCCAGAGCTGGGGCACCCAGCTCTGGGGTCCTCTGAACAAGAAAGACATGGATCTGTCAGAGTCCAGGGGAAGCCACAAAGATGATCAGAAGGATGGAGCACCTTGTCTGTGAGCAAGGGGTGGGAGAATAGGGATTGCTCAACCTAGAAAAGAGGCAGTTTAGGGGTGACCTCACTGCAGCCATCCCATACCTGAAGGGAGCCTACAAGAAAGATGTAGAGGGACTTTCTATAAGACCATGGAGTGACTGGATAAAGGGGAACAGATTAAAGGAGAGTAGGTTTAGATTAGATATTAGGAAGAAGTTCTTTGTTGTGAGGGTAGTGAGGCATTGGCACAGCTTTCCCAGAGAGAGGAGTTGAGGATTCCCTATCCATGGAAGCATTTAAAGCCAGACTGGATGGAGCTCTGAGCAACCCAGTCTAGTAAAAGGTGTCCCTGTGCCCAGCTGGGACCTTCAAGATCATCTTGTCTCTACCTTCCTGCTGTGTGCAGAGACACCTCCCACTAGATCAGCTTGCTCAAAGTCTCAGCCAACTTGGCTTTGAACACTCCCAGTATTGGTAATCCATAGCCTCCCTGGGCAACCTGTTCCACTGTCTCACCACACCCACAGCAGAGAACTCCCTCCTAACATCTAACCATAATGTCCCCTCATTCAGAGTGCACCCATTACCCCTCATCCTATCATTATAGTTCCTGATGAAGAGTACATCTCCAGGTTCCCTGTAGGCACCTTCAGATACTGGAAGGTTTGGGGACTGTAAGGTCAGACCCAACATTCTCAGTTGCAGGGTAGGTGTTTCGGTCATCTAGTTAATATCCTGGCTTGCTCTGAACTTGCTTCATATAAGGCTCACATTTTTTTTCACTTAGTTATGTACCATTCCTGTGCATGACACATTTGTGGTAGAGTAGCTCTTCAGTTGTTTTCACATGACCATTTGGTAGGGACTAGGCTTTTGTTCTCCTCCTAGTGATACTTGCACTGAAAACACAAAGGCTGTATTTCCAAAGATTAGATAATCTAGGAGACTTTAAATACCAAAGGAAGCACTTTCAGCATAGAACTGAGCAGCTTCAGAAAGAAATAGATTGAGATTAGGTATTTTCACATAGCACGCAGGAGAAAAAAAGAGTACGTGAGATTTACCTGCCTGCAAAGCTATCAGGCACCTTTATTGTGTGACATATATCCAAAATAAATAAATCATTGCTATCTGACTCCTAAAAGTACAATAAGAAATGGTGCTTTTTTTGTGGGATATCTGAGCAAGGTACCATTAGAAATGTCCACAGTGGATGTTTATGCTTTTGTTAGAGAAACAAAACAGTGAAGACAGCTGCAGAAGAAAAAGAACACTTACCTTCTGCTTTCCCCCCAAACTGAGGCAACATTGCATAGTATGGCTGTAAGCTGCAGAATAACATGCATTATTCTCATTTTGTAGGTGAACAGACTAGAAATGTCATGACTGAATTTGTAATTTATTTATTTGTTCCTTTTGTTATTTATTACCAAGAGAACAAACAAAAAACAGTGTGTACTGAAGAATGCCAGTAACTGGCCAGAACTGCTTTACTGTAATTGCTCTAAAGTCCACTTTTCAGAAAATTCCACTTTTTCCCTGAATGGGGAAATACCGTGAAGTACTTTCCAGGTTAAAAATAAACCAATTTTGTTTAACACTACCTTTCAAATATACGAAAGACGTTTCATATTGAATTAAGAGAACCATTAACTGCCTAGTAAAAAAGCTGTCATAACAGTGACTCATGTAAAGAACAAATAGTTCCTAAAGCAGAGCTGTTTACAAGAGCAAGTTCAGTGTATAACAGCTTTGGAATCCTCATTTGGAGAACTGGAGGACTAAAGTCCCAAGATTCTCCTTTTATTCCTCCGCCAGCCAATATAAAAGAACAACACGTTATTTTTGTGGCTTTGAATGAGACTAAAACTCTTTTAGCTTTCACTCTGTCACAAAAAAACCAAACCACAAGCCAGCTCTTTAGAAGAGCATTCCTCTTCAGTAGTTTGCTGTAATCAGGTTAAGATTAATCCATCACGTGTTGGACACAAGTCACAATTCACTCATAAATAACTTGATGTTTAGAATTACATTGCTGTAATAATAAATGAATAAATAATAATGAAATACAATCTTGAAATAATGATCCAGGATAAAGATATTCTAAATTTCTGTGGCTAATTGAAAAAACAATAAGAGTAATTTTATTGTTTTCCTCTTCCTTGCTTTTTGTGGCAGGGTGCAGAGAGTGTGTAAAGTAAGGCAGGCAAATTTCCCCCCTGCACAAACTCTGATTTGGATTATTTCATTTAGAGAAATTTTCACCTGCTGCAGCCTCAGCTTGATGAGTCCAGTTACAATAAACTCATTATTAGGCAAGAATGCAAGACACAGACACTTGTAATATTGTATTATTTCATCAAAACTGCTATCACAGTTCATGGTTCTTTAAGATGGAGACTCTGAGTAAACAGCTATTCAAAGTTAGCTAGGAGACCAGAAAGCATCTTTGGCCATCTTGTAGGAAGATCTTGCTCTAAATGAGTATCTTGATGGCCATTTCAGAATCTGAACAGCAGTGATTTAAATCCTTAACTCAAATGCTGGTAAACATATTCCTTCATATGGGCATTAAGGCAGTCAATTATCCTTTTCATTTTAATACTAAATTGTATGTTGCCAGGCAGTCAAGAAGATAAAAAAAACCAAACCAACCAAGAAAAACCCCACCAAAAAAACCCCCAAAATCCCAACAAACAAATCCCCAAAAAACCAAACAAAACCAACCAAAAAAGCCCCACTGTGACTCTGTACCCACCCCCCTAAAACCTGTATTTCAAGCTGGATAACAAATACTTTGCAATTAATTGTTTTTAGCCCCTTAACCATCAAATAATATTAGAAATAAGCATTATAATTATTCTAAATATTAGAATAGTCTAAAGCAGCAGCTTAATAACAGATTTATTATTTTTATAGCTATCTCTGTTGAAGGAGTTATATAATTTCCTCTGAACTCAAGAAGATGTTTTGAGATTTCCCAGCATCACTTTAGATCTCCTGCAAAGCTGGAATATAGAAGGTGCATTATTGAAACTTCTGAGTGCAATGCAATTTAAGTACTTAGCTCCCATGGCTCTGCAGAAAGAAGCAGGAAAGCATATTTAGCAGCAACAAGCTCAGGCTGAGCAGCCCAAGGGAAAAAGTTCTAGTGACAGCTTCTACTAAATCATATTATTTCTTAATATGGCACAGCATTTTTTGAACAGCTCCAATGCAAGAAGTTACAGAAAGACACTTTCTTCAAACAGCTACAGAACCTGTGAGGAATTCTTCTCAGCAGGCTTTGAACTTCTGATGTCAACTAGGCCACAAGACTGACTTAAGAGAAGGCAGAATTAACAGCCACACTGATGCTTATTTGGTATGAAGAGTTGCTTCTTTTTAATGTCATTAAGTAACAGATACTACAGTTTTATATAACAGTGTAACATCAATAAGTTTCTACATTTCCAGTTTGAGACAAATACTTAAATTTGTGATTTTATTTTTTTAAAATTTTTTTTTTTGCATTACAGAAAGTGCAAGAGAAGTTTGTATACACAACTAATTGCATGACTGGCTGAATTGGATACTAAGGCTGTATTCAAGTTGACTTTCTTAGCTCTCCAGTTTAGCAACAGCTTAGGCATTTGATTTAACAATAACATTTCAAGTTTATACTTAACAATAACAGAAAAACTTCTGACACATCAGTCATCACCACTGGCCAAGAATGTAGCTGTTACAGGCAGTTGTAACTGGTTCAAAACCCTGTTAGTAAAGAGGCTCTTGAGAAGAGGCATGTTTTCCAAAAGATAGAGTACTACCTCACATTAATAGCACAGAGATGGTGCATCTGTTCACAAGGAACCTAGGCATGGAGTGAAGCTATTTTGGTGTTTTTGTTTTCTAGCATGCTGGAAACATACCCCACTACACCATGACAACTCAAACTTAGCACATCAGGGATTCACTGAGATGTAAGAAAGAACCCTACCTTCCTGTTTCATTTGTTTGCCAAGCCACCTTAATAGAAAAGTAATCCTAGTAGATTTCCCTCCCTGAAAACTGCCATATTAGCACCAAGACAACAGTTAGTGTCCACAACTACCTAAATGTTCTGCAAGAAGTTTTGCAGCTTACAGTGTAGGCCTCTAGTACTCAGGGCTTCAGCAGCGCTGTTACAGACCCCGCAGTCCCTTAATGACACATTTGTGGTGGAATGATACTTTTAGTTAAATAGAGTAATATTATTTTCCTCTACACATAGTTAAATTTTTGTGGCTAGAAGACCAAGCCATCTGTCTAGTCACCAGTTAGAATTGAGTAGCATCCACTTTACAACTGGCTGCTGCTGTCATAATGGGCAACTGACCTAGTTGTTTAAATGTGTGGAGTTTTAGCTACTAATTCAACACCCTTATGCAAAGGCAACAACTCTCCCCTAGGGTACATTAAGTTCCTCTATTCTGGGACAGTAAGTGCCATGTAAAGGGAAATGGTACAAGACATTACTCAGTGCTGCCAACCTCTCTGTAGAGGAGTGCAAAGAACTAAAGTAAAGGTAACATCCACCAATCTGAATTTGGGTTTTCAGCGTGAGTCAATATCCCCATTTGCTTTGCCCTGAATTATCATCTTCACAGCATGTTCTTTGAGGGTCCATGCTTCAATCCACCTGGATATATTTTAGATTGCAGACATCATGAAGCAACAGCAAGAATAGCAGACAGCAAAGTGAAACACGTAGAAAAATCACGTTGAGAAGAGGTCCAGTTATTCCATTTGTCCTTTTCTGGTTATGCCTGGTATGATGGAAAGGAATTAGTGTTAGGATGGCTATGAGATGTGCTTTATTGCTTAAACAGAGCCACTAGGAACAAAACTAAAGCAATAGATATCAACTCTTGTCTTCTGTCAAAAGCTAGACAGGGGCAGACTGGAAGGTATGGCAGAAGATTTGCTGGATCAATAGACCATGTTCTTCAGTCAATGCTATGAAATTTCAAATTACATTAGTTTCTAGCAACAAAAGTACTTGTAACAGCTTTTGATTAAAAATCAGAGTAAGAGTCTAATAGCCTTATTCTTGTTTTATTCCAATTTACTCAGAGTCCAAAACTGCAGTTGTTAAGGTGATTAAACTTCAGAAAGCTGTACACTGTGTACAGGGCACTCTAACATTCTCCCACAGATATCTGAAGGTATTAAAGTCAGTCCCTCTGAATTCTGCAGCAAATATACAGTCACTATTTTTCTTCAAGAAAAGGAAAATTAGATCTGTTGTGGGCTTGGAATTTGAGTCTGTGGAAGAATCAAGTCTTTATTTTTAAGAAGCTGACTAGGCTTAGACAGAATACAGCTATGTACAAGTCTGGTAGAGGTACTATACCAGAAGTTCTACCAAGCACTGTTTGCCACATTTCAGAGAGCATTAGTACTAAACTCCTGCAGTTTTTAGCTATCTCTTTACTGAACATTTCCTCAATAAATTTCAGAGGATGAAGTAGGTTGGCTTATTAGTGGAAGACTTACCTGATCTATGCAAATGGGTTGCCAAATTCATGACCAAAAGGACCAGAAGGTGGATTCTGAGATTCCTTCTAAGGAAAGAGATAAGCTGTTAGTGGATTTACAGTTTTCACCAGTTTTACACTGCAAAGCTCTATGAGCTACTTCCTGTTCAAACACCTAGAAAGAATACTTCAGAGCACCTGATAAATACACATTTACCATATTCTTCAACAAAAGAAGGGGGTTCTAAGCTGTGTTAGCTGTTATGCTAGTCCAAGGCAAGGTATTTTTCAGAAAACCATGTTTGCTTCCAAACACTCCTTTAGAGCCAGTGTAGTCAAGATGAGATGTCTTTTAGTCAAATGCTAGAAGTCTTAAATCAGCATTCTGGAATTGGTCCAGAATTTTCACTGATGGCTTCAAGTGCTCTGTCCCAAATAGAGTGATCTAGTGAAGCCACTTTCTCCCCCACAGAGTCCTTAACATGGAACTTCCCATTTGTTCAGCTAGAGAGCTTCACAATCCATAATGCTCAGTCTGTTCCAAAGAGGCTTATATCTAACCAAAGTGGAGTATTTCTGCAGCTACATTATTTGATACTCTTTTGTAGAGGGTCCCAATACTACAGAACTTTGCACCTTGGGAAACTGGTTGCGGAGCCAAGCCAAATGGAATAATGCTTTGTTAACCTTCTTGCAACAGTTACACTCTACTAGATTACATATTAGCCTCAAAGATGCAAAAGGTTTTTGTTGTAGCACCTCTAAAGCCAGAACTAAACTAGTGCTCAAACATAGGCACCACAGTTACTAAGGAGAAAAAAAAAAAATTGATGGCTTTTTTTGTGGTGGTAATGTCATTTAGAGGTTTTGGTATTTGTGGGAGCGCACTTTGTCGAGGAACAGGCTTTGGTGGTTCTAAAAAAGAGAGACATACTGCTATAATCACTTGACATAATTAACAAGAACTCAGGTCTGCTTGTATAGCAACACCACAGCTCATCTAATTAGAAACACACACAAAAAAAAAATCACATGGAAGTTGCTTGGAGCCACAATATTAACTCCTGCTTGTCCCTCACTAAGCTTAAATCAGATGGAAATTCTAACGTTCAGACTTAGGTTTACCTCGTTCTAGTCAAGTCATCGAGGCACTAGGTGTCAGTATTTCACCACTGCCACTGATCAAGTCTTCAATTTTGTAGTTGAGACAGCCCCTCAACCCTCTATTTCAGTAACCATTAACTCCAAAATGTTACCAGCCATTTTGGCAAACAGCTTGCTAGCTTCCATTTCATCATGATCTGTACTATCTTTTGAAATGCCTACTTTACTACTAAAGTAACTGCTGAAAACTCCAGAAGCACCTGAAAGGCTTGGCTGTTCTCCTCTCCTTGCTGGTACTGCAGGTGGCTTTGTCAGCTGGAAGTCTTTGAACATTTCCTTGACATCCTTCATTTCTTTATCCCCAAGTGGATCCAGAGCAATGAATGCATCGCTCTCTTTCTTGGACAGCTCCTTCTGCTGTGTAGTTCTGGGTGGTGGCTGAGGTGGGCTAGCTGATGTTGACATGGAGGGCAGAGCCGAGGCTGTCTGAGCTGGTAGCGTTGGAGATGTGAACACACTGCTCTGGAAAGGATTTACAGCACTGGTTGGCTGTGCCCAAGAACTAGGTGGCACTTGTGCTGGCTGCGGCCAGAGACCAGAAGACTGAGTGGATGTGGTACCAAAGGATGAAGATTGGTTCCAGCCTGGCACTGCTTGAGTGCCAAAGGCAAGTGGTTGAGTAAATCCTGGAGACTGCGCAGACATCATAGACCCGTGGAAGACTGATGTAGCCTGAGTGAAGGAAACTGTTTGCGGGGTCCATGGTGATGAAGTGACTGGCAAACCACCTGGGGGGAGATTGTTGTTACACAGCATTTCAGTCATCTGAAGACTACAAGCAGGAGCATATCAATTCCATAAAGGGTACCAGCAAAAGATTTTCACGTACTGTTTGTGAAAATCTCTTGGTTTGCACTTAGAAATCAAACTATTTGGGGGAAAGAAGCAGGGAGAAAGGGTTTAATTTATTACTTTGCTGCATTTCAGTGCTGCAAGGACATAACTGAGGTTTTTGTAAGGGAAGGACAAACATAGTTCTAGCACAGAAGTGACAGGTGGATTTGCCACAACAATCATGTAAACAGAAGTAACTAAGACCCTGTGCAGCAACATTACCCTGACCTTACAAGTAGTGCTTGGCTCACTTAAGCCTTGGGTACCTGAAGTAGGAAGCTGCTGTCCAAATTAAAATAGTTGATTGTTTTAATCCTGATTCAGTTAAGGATGCAGAATTAGCCCTCTATTTGCTGAATGTACTAGTTTAGGGCAAACAGCACATGGATTAAAGGGTACAGCACAAGAAGTAAAGGAAAACTAGAACCCATGTTTTGGTGTTAGGAGATATCTTGGAGTGGAACAAGACTTTTATTTTTGTAAACTAACCTAGACCAGCCAGTGGAGATGCTATGGTAGAACTTGTTTTGAAGAGGTCCAGTGGACTAGTCAGCTGAGCTCCTGCCTGTGACCCTGAGCTCAAGTTAAGGCTCTCCGTAGATGGCACAAAGAAGTCTGAGCTGAGTAAGTCATTCGATGCAGTCTAGAAAGAAAAATATAAGTGAGATTCCATGGTAGAACACATGCTAGCAAGATCAGGGCTCCCTAGTCCAGAGCTAGAAGACTTTTTCATCTAAAACAGAGGAGGGAGTTTTGATGTATCATTTAGAGTATAAGATTTTCAAACATCACCCTTTTGTTCATGCTTATGGAAATACTTGGCATTAAGCAGGTAAAATATATAGTAGACATGAGTCAACAGAAGAAGAGCAGGACTTAAAATGGCTGAATTATTTGCTACAAGTGAGCTTCCCTCTGCACCCTATCCCTTTAAACACTACTGCTTAGTCTGCAGAAACCCCTGTGGTTATGTCAAGGCCAGAAGAGTTTTGCATAATTTAAGTACAAGATAAATGAAGCTGATCCAGAGCCACCCTGTGCCTAGTCATGCAAGCCACTGAAATTTCCTTCAGTAGGCAAATACTGAAAAACCACATGGGTTTTGGTAAGCCAGTACTGGTATCTTATTGTTATGAAACCCTAGGTTGATGGGCATACATACTGCTATCATGAATGTTATATTACTATCATAACAGATTCTGGCATTATATCAAGTGTTAAGTGTTATGCATAGCAGCATACTTACCAGACCTTTACAGGAGTATGGCAGCATTAAAGAAGAGAGTATAGAATTTAGTGACCATGGCTACTATGAAACCTTCCTCTTCCTGGCTTGGTACTCTGTGGTGGTGGGCTAATTGTTATAGGCTCATGTGGCACAAATTGGATATTGTTTTCAGAATCCAGATTTACTCCATTCTGCTACTCCATTCTGCAGAGATGTTCCTTTGGAAGCACCTTCCACAACCAGTTTTGTTGGGACTTCAAGAAAGCCATTCCGTTCTCTCTCTGGTATCACATTGGGAATTCTTGCTGCAGGTGACTTACTCTCAAGTGGCCACAGGCATGTCAGTGCTTCTCGTTTGCCAGTTCTATTAGAAATCTGGTCAAACTGTTTATCAAAGTAGTCAATATCACCGTTTGAAGCACCATTACCCCCTGATGTAGTTGGACTTCTCTTCTGATCAGATTTTAGAGAATCAAATGAAGGTGGTGCAGATTGGGCTGGCTGTGTGAAAGGATCATCACTGAAAGGGTTTGGATTAGGTGTAGGAAAGAAGCTGAGATTGGTAGAGAAAGAACTCTCAGGCAAGAAGGGTGTCTGTGCCTTTGGTTGTGGAAGAGAGGCTGTGATGCCATTCAAGAAGAGATCCTCTTTTGCAAAGGTTTGTTTGGTCTCAATTTCAGAATTAAAATCCACTAACAGAATCTCTTTAGCCTCCTATTTTTTCAGAGAGAAAAATGAAGTTAGTTATACATAGATTTTGCTGCACAGTGAAAAAGCTCAAAGAAAATAGCTGCAAAAGAAGAGATCCAAGTACCCTATAAATTATACCACTAAACAGTCAAAATCACAAAGGCAGGCACTGCTATCCATAGTCAAATTACAGCTATTTGGTCTCTGAAACCCAATACTGAAACATCTGTTTTCAGATCCCACAGTTAAACATCATATTCTTGGTCTTCAGTCTAGTGACTGTAGAGTCAGTAAGAACTAATTACACAAACTTTCACTTGAGTCAAAGACCCCTGTTTGAGTCCTAGTCCTTAGTTTTGACAAGTTGTGAAATCCCACTGCCTTAGTAAGACTTCAGGTTGCAGACTCAGCTTTAGAATAACGCTGAAGAGCTATTTGCCAGTGGAAGGTAACGTAATTCTCCACCAAGCATGCAGGGGAAGGCTTGGTCACTGGCTGGGTTGACAGCACCAGCTGCACCGTGCTGATGGTGTCTTATAGTGCCGGATTTAAAATTATAGGATTTTTGCAGTCATACTGAGCTATGATAAGGTTTTGCACACCTTTGTGCAATTGGGCCAAATTTTGAGCTAGACATACTGGAATGACACTAGTAGAATTAAGTATTAGAATGACACCTAGTGTGATCAAGTGGATACTTCTAGAGCACTACCCCACTAGTAAAATGATGATTGCTAGGCAGATGCCTCAATAAATGCAACACTTATTACTAGGACTGAATTTGCTTCCTAAGAAAAAGCCAAGGCAAGTAAGCTCGAGTCTACTTACTGTGGGGCTGCTCATATCAGGGGGTGTTGACATATCCCCAAACAAGTCCATCTGGTCAACTCCCTTGAAGCCAGAAATATTGAAAGAATTGGCATCTGTTAGAGCTCTCACAAGAAGAAGCATCATGCAGATTTACTTAAAATCTGCAGTAAGCACTGTAAACACTATCTATAAACATTGCATTTCCTACACATTATGGAGACATTCAGTTATGAACATTTTAATGGCATCAAATGACATTTTAAAATTGAACCTACCAGTTTCGCCTTGTCAGCTTGATCAGCAGGCAGTTCTTCACCACCATTCTGTAACACACAGACAACAATGTCAGAAATAATTGTAATTTCAAAATTTGCCTTAAGCAAGGGACTTGCAGGCTTTAAAAAGCAAGTAATGGAGAAGGGAAGCATGATAGAGATCACTATTCAGTATTAGTTCCACAGACTCTTTTCACTTCCATTTCAATGTAATTGGGCATCTGATACTGCCTTCATAATGCTGGCAGCATAATGAAAGTCAAAGTTAGATGTGGTGTAGCAGCATATCTAATCAAGAGGGGCTGAGTGGAAGTGACTTACCTCAGTCTTACTTGCTTCTTCACTCTAAAGAAAAAAAGAAGATTTTTAATACCTAAACATCATGTAGGATATCAACAAAAGTCAAATTCTGTCACTTTGGAGGAGCTTACCAGACCCAGGCAGCCAAACTGGTGGCACAGCTCCCAGTGTTTCTGGGTTTAGGCAGCGCTTAGTATCAAGTCTTATAAGAGCCCCCAAATCAGCCAAAATTGAAGCAAGCTTTATGCAGAGTCATGCAGCTTCTATATTTTTACTCACCTTTTTCTTTTCTTCTTCTTCCTTCTTCTTCATATTATAGATTAGTTGGAAGAGGTCCTTAAGATCAGAAACCAGAGGCTCAGCCTGGAAAAGAATGTAGATTTTAGGCCATGTACTACTTTTACCTGGAGTTCTAAAACAGCAATCTGTGCAACAAGCCAAACTTCTCTAAACGGTGTAAGACTTGGGTTGAGATAACAGGAAAAGCAAGAGTTTAATGACCTGTTTTGTCTTCATACAAGAGTCTGCTCATGCAGAATCCAAGGGGAAGGGACACAATCGGTGTAGAACTGTTACTAACTCTACAAAAGCGTCTGTACACAAGTTTGTGCTACCATGCACAAAGGTTTTGTGCTAAAACTGCACAAAGTAACAATACTTTTAATATTTTTGCTAAAAATCTGGTAGCAATACTTCTTAAGTGTAAGCAAGTCCTCAAAGTGCAAAATTCATCCAAGCCTTCTGGTAGTCTCCTTGCATTTGTCTGTTTGCTACCAACTCTATCACTGAGTGTGGAGAAAGCTTCCACACATATTACTACTTCTCTTTTAAACAGTATACAAATAACAAATGAGCAATGTGAGCATAAGGTAAGATTATCATCTCCTCAAATGTGTGAGGCAGAGACCAGCTTTAAATGGGATCTGAGACATGGTGACAGTTCAATGTGAATTAGGAAGGCAGGGCATGCCCTGTACATCCATTAACAAGAATGCTGTCGAGAAGGTGGCGAGTTCAGCTACACTGCTTTGGAACACTTGTGTCAGACATACAGCAGCTTGTCAATGTCTAGAGTAGGACACATCCCCATCTTCAGCCACTACCACTGGCTCAAGCTGAGAATGCTTTGAACAGATCTCACTGTTTACACCTGAGCACCATCCTCTCCCAATCAAGGGGTTTAGACATGCAGCTGCAGGAAGATCCATTTCAAGAATTACTAACTTTAACAAGGAGTAGAGCTGCAGCAGACTAGATCTGCAGAAGTCCTTGCTTCTGAGCTCGGCAAGTTTATGACAAAAACACCAAGTAGCAAGTCAAGACCTGTCTAAGGCCTGGCTGAGCTCAAGGGCTGGCAAGCAGCACCCTGTGGTGAAATGAAGGAATAGAGTCCAGAGTACATACAAAAGGCTTTTGTGCTTAATCTACAATTCCACTGAAATCAATACAATTATTGGTCAGAATGCTGACAAATTCAACAGACTTAGAAGGCCTTGTAGCTGTTACTGAATTAGTAACATGCTCCAACAAGGAGCTCCTCAGTTATATTATGAAATCATAATAAAGACAAGCTGATAAACAAAAAATACCTAACTTCAGGTTGTTTATGAAGCTGAATAATTCTTAGTGGTATTTTTAAGTAGCTTTTTCCAGTACTGCTTACGTACAGATTCCCCTCAGAGAGAGATTAGCCTTGCACACAGGATTTCTGCATGTGAGGAACTTATCACAGAAGGATCAGAATCCCTCCCAGCAAGTTAGGGTTAAGAGGTCCTAGGAGGACCAGACGTATCACTTACAGGCCCCAGAATCAGTGTTCAATTGAATAAGTGATTTTCCTGCTGCACAAGGCAAAGCATGACATGAACTAGGCTAATGTAGTTCTATATTCCTGTTAATTCAGAATGAAACTGGCTATTTTACTTAAGAATTAGTACTTTCACAGTGGGAAGACTGTGTTAATAGCTCTGTTCCTCTCACTAATGACTTTCATGGTACATAGACAAGCACTGTTAATCACAGTAAGCAAGACTACTTGAGTGCTTTTATTCTGGACTACAATGAAACTGTGCAAGACAGAAGCCAGTAGTGACACAGACAATTCCTACTGTCTTTCTTTCAATAAAATCTATCCATGCATGCTGGATTCCCCAAAGGAATTTTGTGGGATTTCCAGCCAAACACTAGACCTTTATCACATGTTAAATGTTTACACAACAACATTATCCATAGTATGTGAAAGAAAGTGTCTGATTCATACCTGTTGGGCTGTTTTTATGGCAAAGAATTGGTGCTGGCCTTCTCCTCCACATATATAGCCAAAGGCACGATTGTCTGTTACATCCCGAGCAATAAAGGAGATTTTGTTTACTGGATGCTCATGCTCTATGACCTGGAATTGGGATAAAAATAACTATTGGTTTAAATTTCTGGAAATATAATCACCACTGTTCTGTGTAGTTAGAATGATTGAGACTGCTAGAAATCTTCAGTCTAAACCTCGTATTTATCAGCCTTTGACTAACTACAATAAGATGCAGCTGTCTTCTGACAGGAGTTTTCAGCATCACAAATGTTTCAAAAGCCAATTTTTATATGTGGAAATGGGGTACAGTGCCCAAGTAAGAATCTAGTTCATATCGCTTCAACGTCCAGGTGCCTCACTAGCTTTGAAAATCACATTAAGAAAATAAATTATATCTTACCCCAGTTTTCTCATCTATAATCTTGATTCCAGAGAGGGAGATGTTTACCCAGATCTTCTGTTTGTGCTGACCCTGGGAACGGGCTGCTGCTGCCATTCCCTAAAGAGGATGAACGCCAAAGTATTGATGAGACTTCTGTTGGACTGAGCTTTAACTTGTTTTTTGTAACATATTATTGCTTAGGTCTAAAGTCATACCACAGATCCAGGCAGTTTTCTCTGTCTTAGATTCTTAAAACAGATTTTAGTCCACAAAACTGCTGCAGTAGCGGCATCTTTTACCTGCTTTTCCAGTCTGATTGAAGGTACGTGAATGTTCAGAACTGCAGAAGTAATGGTCTTTGTTGCTGCAGGGATTAATTTATATTTTAGTTTGTCTGTATCTGAGTGTCACCACTGATACAGGATGCCAACTTGTGCTTTGAGGTCAGTGTTAACTTGCACAGCAATCACCCCTTCCCCTCCAAAACCCAAGCTCATCATTTGTGATGAAATTCATACTGCCAGCATTCATACTGGATGCCTGTGGACCCAAAGGAATGTTCCAAGACTTTCAGAGAAATGTCATTTGAGCCAGAGGTTTAGGAAGCAACATCCATCTAGAGGGTGCTGCTAGTAACTACATCACCATTAAGCTGTATTTGAAATTTTGCCAAAGTGACTGTTTGATCTGCTTTTTGAAGGCTAACCAGAGATTGTTCCTTACGTCACAGATCAAGCCCTTACCTTCAGCTTCATCATTGAATCCTGACTCATTTTGTCTCCTCTTGCCTCAGGAACATCATCTATGCCAATCAGTTTAGCCTTGTATTTTACACCATCACCTTTGAATCTAGCCAAGAGGGTTTCATCTGTTTTTTCTGGCCCTGGGAACAGAGAAAAAGTTTAATGGGTCTTTTTTTGAGGTTATTTTTATGTTTGGGTGAGTTGGGTTTTTTGTTTATTTCTTTTTCTTGGCTGGTTGTTTTTGGTTTTGTTTTTTGGTTTTTTTTCTTTTTTACGATTGAAATGGCTATGTTGATATTTGTGATCTTTAAAAAATATACACCATGTCTATGTTAAAACTGTCTCTTGAGTACAGCTGACTAACAATCCATGTGCACTGCAAGACAGTTACTCCTTTATGGTCACCATACTCTTGCAGAACATGGCCTCAGTTCAAAGAGTGGAGCCTCGTGCTTATTGTCTGGGAGCTTCGGAACAATTGTTCACCACATAAAAGCCTAAAATATGGATAAGCAAAAGTAAGGTGTTCTAAGAAAAAAATACCATGCAAAAATGGTACTTCCCATGGTCATACAGGGTGCTCAGTAAGGCCTTTAGGTGTTGTCCCTGTGTTCTGATGTAGGCAGATCTGTTCTTGCTGTGCAAAAATAATCTCCCAGTTCCCATACTAGAACCTGATATCAGCACCATCATTTCTACAATGAGTCCTGGTACTCTTGTCCTTCTAAGTATTTGGGATTTTAACTAATTTGTTATTTCTGCTGCTCCTGCTGGGAACTGCTTGCTTTTCTTCTCTACGTGCTCAACATAGCTCATGTATGCACCTAGGTATGTATTTTTATATGAGGTAATTATATTTACATGACCTAATCTATCAAAAAATCTATTATCAGTTTCATAATAATTCTCATGGAATGCGTTTTCTAGCTTCCCTGGATAAGAATTTGTATCCAGCACTCCTTTCTGGACTGGGGGGAGTGTGGAGGCCCAGGGCCCCGTTACCAAAATGCCTCAACCCTGGAGGGGCAGAGGCAAAACGGGAGAGACACTCTTCTAGAATAGAGTAAGAAAAGGCTTCCCTCCCATGGGCCTTTTGCAGCCATATTGGTGCCTTTTCGGTTCTGGTGTTCTGATAGTGTGTGGGGATTGATATCAACCTTGTTCATCCCCTGTTTACCATTCATGTACCCTTCCTAGAATGTTCTTCCTTCCTTTAGCCCCCATTGGCTCTGTTTTGCCACAGTGTTCCACTCCTGTTATCCCCTTGGTTCCCCAACCCTTATTCACTCCTCTGCACCACTTTCCCTTGTCCCTATTGAACCTTGACCCTCAGATCTGCCCCTTTTGCCTCTCATTTAACCCTGTGCCCTTAACCCAATCCTTGGTTCTCATCCCTGCATCTATTTGAGGCTGTGTTCAATAAACCAGTTGTTGGATTGGCAAATGAGAAACCATCCCTTTGTCCTAAATCATCTCTGGGCTCAGAGACACTGGTTGTTCCCTGGGATCTCACTGCAGCACATGCTGTGACAGGGGAGGAGTCGGGTTCAAGTTCAGACTAATGGGTGCTGTGGTGGTCCAAGGTCTGGTCACCTCCTCAGGAGGCTCTTGCTTCTCTGGGCTCTTCCTTACTTGTCAGGCTCAGCAAACAACTTAACAGAGGAACAGAGAGCTTTAGAACTTAAGGCTAGAAAGGAGTTTTAACGCTAAAAGCCTACCTTCTGGTTAAGTTTATTATACTGGCATATTTACTTACTCTTCTGGTCAGCTGGAAAACTCAGTTATTTCAGCAGTAGTGGGATGGATGATCTTAGTTTAGGCAAATGCAAAAGATTAAGAACACAGAATAGAGGAGTTGTGCAAGTAGTAAGCATTTCTTACCTTTCTTTTTTTCCTTCTTTGAAGACTGTGCCTTTGGTGGAGCCTGTTGTTCAGGCTGGCTGTTGGGAGCAGCAGTTTCAGCTTCAGTAGACATGATGGGATTGTGGCCAGTTACGTTCACTGTAGGCTTGAAAACCCAAATAAGAAGTTAGAATTCAGACATACTATTTTTACCTTGAAGAAGAAATATTCTTATCGAATATAAGATTAAAGTTGTTAGTCCATCAGAGTTCTGCTGAACACTGATGCCTGACAAAGCCTGAATGTGTAAGGAGTGATCATACGGCAAGTCTGGCTCAGAGTCAGAGCACGAAGTTACAGCAGGAGGTGATGAACCCTCACCTCAGAAATACCTTAGCAGTAGGGCACACTGATCTACATCAACAGGCTCTACTTGCACTGATACAAGCCAACCTGTCAATCTTTAGCTTTTTTACCTTTTAAGGCTATTTATAGAACCTCAGGTATTTTGGGCTATTCTCATTCAGCACTGTCAGCTGCACCTCTAAAGTAGTGTGGGAGAGAAGGCAAGAAACATTTGCTAGGATCTGTTCCAAACACCCATGAGGATGACACCAAAACACCCCAAAGATGCCAGTAGATATTATTCATGTTTCTATATCCCGCAAAAGTCAGAGGTTATACCACCCAACAGCTAAAGCCAAATAATTTCCTCAGGATGCAGACAGACTGTCCCAGTAAGAACACAACAGAACCTCAAGCCAAACCGCCCCCACACTTGTCTTAACAAGTAATCAAGTAACCTTCACATTTTCAAAACCCCTGCAAATTGACAATAAACTGCTGACTTTTAGGATTTACCTCTATGCCATGTGACCCTTTTCTCTCTGAGACACAATTAAAAAATAAGTTTACAGTCGCTATGTTTTGTTCCAACAGAACAGAGGTACTCAGAGAAGCTTCATGAAGATCTAAATCAAGACAGAAAGAACTAGATATCCACATCTGCTACAGAAACAATTCTATCAATCTTGTCTGGGATATTGCAATGGCTGTAGGTAGTTAATACCTTGAATTTTAAGATAACAAATGAAGTCAAGAAATTGTTTAGGTGATTAAATAATTAGGCTCCCCTCTACTTACCCCTATGTTCAGGCAAGCTGCTACCCCTTTACTCCAGCATTTCAGACACAACTTGTATGTACATAAAAGTGCAGAAGAGCTGCATAGCCCCTTGCATTAGAAGTTTTTTTTTCTCAATAGTCAATTCCTTGTTTGCCTTAGTAATAGCTGATGCTTTACCCATTACTTCCTGCCTTCCCTTCCTCCCCCAATTTTCTGCTAAGTCAGTAACTAGACTGACTCAACCAGCTTGCCACTACCTGAGTAATGGATATCAATTCTTAACACAGGAAGAAGAAAAATTCCTAGATCTTAAAGAGAGAATTTCACTCTGAAAACCTCAGTTTCCATTTAACCAGGAGGAAGGCCTTTAGGGAACTAGCTAACCTAAGCAAAATTAGACCTAGCTTCTTACCAGATGGTTTGTGAATTGCATTTAGCATTGGTCAAGTAAATCAACAGAGATAAGGGTGCTCAAATGGGAAAGAACTGTCAGGTATACCTGTTTTCCTCTGTATGCAACTTATCTGGCCACAGCTAGGGAACATTTGATGCAAGGGAACAAAGGTGTTGCTGTGAAAGTTTCAAGTGGTTCTGAGTAGAAAGAGATGTCAGAGGAAGAGTTTGTTTGGCAAGCCATGGTTTTTTAAGAAATGTTATCATTGAAAGAGTGGCTTGTGTGTCCATTCTGACAAAAGGTCAAGAGGAAAACTATTAAGCCAGCAGGGATTTTGCAGAATACTTGTTACAGTGCTAAAACAAAAGATATATATATATATAAAGAGTATCATTTTTGGGTGGAGATAGCTTTTGTAAGCATAAAGAATCCCTCCCTAGATTTATGAAGTCCTTCAGAAATAATGAAGAAGGAAAGAGAGTTAAAGTTGGACTATTAGTTAAAAACCCAATCCTATATGGAAGGTTACTGTTGAGAGAATAGAAGGGAAAGGCCCAGAAAAGAGAAATAAGCCTTGCTCTCAAAAAGCTGAGTTATAGCTTTAGGACATTCTGCCTAGCTCCATTATGGAAAGAAGAAATAAGAAACTCATGGCACTGAATCCTGCCTGTCAGTGATCCTTCTTCCTCTAATGAGTAGACCTACACCCAACTGTGGTTTACAACTTGTATCACACATTGAAGTAAAATTAAGAGGCAATAAAAAAGAAATAATTTAGGAAAGAGCAAATATGCACAAGCAAGTCCTCATTTTGGCAACTGTAAAATGGTCTATATCTATATGTTCAGCTGCCATCATTGAATTCAAGGCATCTCTGGTCATCATTGGCATTTGCCTCCATTGTATGGAAGTCAGACCACTAACTTTAATAAAACCAGATAGCAAAAAACACCCATAGTGGAGTAAGATGGGCAGAAATTACACAAGTGTGGCTGAACCTTTGCAAATATCCTGTCTTACTATGGAAAAACTCATTTTTAGTGTTAGCAGTGCAATTTTAGGGCCATCTGGCTACTTTGCAGGACCTACTCTCATGTCTGAGATCTGGCAAAACTCATGTTCCCTGGTGAAATTTCACATCACAACATGATAATTTATCATACCTCTGGAGAAGTCAGTGTCTTTGAAAATAACCTGAGAAACAACAGAATTAGTTAAACTAAGAATGCAATGATAGTGATGCCTTAAGTTTTAGCTTTCATATTTTCCAGATTCTGTACTGCTTAGTGTATATAACCCTGAACTTCATATAAAGTATTAGCAAGTTCTCTTCTCAGTTTTTGGTTAGACAAAACAGTCCTTTTCCAGCCCAAGAACCAAGGACACTGTTTCAGCTTCAGACCCCCAAAAGGATAAACAATGGTGAATTGAGAAAGGTATCCTTTGAAGGCCTTTTTAATAAATACCTACTTTATTCCCTTAACACTGTCTAGCCTCTGTTCTAGGTAGCTTTCAAGGCATCTACAGACAAAGGCAACCTTAATACGTGTTCATATTTTAAGTTAAGCCACATGTCTACACTGAATTATCTCTGGCTTCACCATAAAATTTCTCTGGGGTGGGGAGAAACATGTAGATTGAGCTAGCAGTAATCTATTCTGTTCACAATAAAAGAACCTCAACCACAAGTAAATATGGATTCTGGGCTTTAAACTCAAACTACAACTCAGCAAGGTCTTCATGACCCTTACGTTTATGTTATCTTAATGGAATGGTGTGCTTACCATACAAGTAACTAAAAGTTAAAACCTTCCATTTGTTTCTTGGGGACTTCCTTTCACAATATTCAGCCTTTTAGAATTTCCTTAATCCAGCTGCAGGTGGAAGGCAACAAGATTAGAATTGTTGTCTTACACTTTAATTTTGAGGTCATCTCAAAAGAGTCGGCCAGCAAGCATGGCAAGGTTAGAAATTCTTGTGCTTTTATGCAAGCTTGAAAGGAGAGTCATGTCTTCAGGTATAGAAAAGAGCAAGATCATTCCCCCAACATCTATGTCAGCACTTAATTTAAAGCAGTTTTAGTCTTGTCCATGTAGATGAGTCCACTGCTATCACCACACCTTAATTACTCACTAATCAGTTATATGGCTTATCTTCATTACTCTGCTAAATGCACTGTTTCAAAAATCCAAAGACTACAGATTTACAATGCTGCCACCTCGGGAGAAGTGCACCAAACTCTGCCTGTATCACCACATATCACACACATTTTTCTCAGCCACTTGTCAATTTACTCCAGACAGGGCTTGTAGAGAGACCACTAGCTGGATCTTCCTCCTTTCCTTCAGGGACTGTCCAGTGAAGGGCAGATAGATACTGATGACTCCTCAGATAAACATCATGTCAGGCTCCCAACACACAGTCCTTGATGTACGACTTGCTACCTACTGTCTCAAGTCAGACTGCTCTCCTTTCAAGAGTTAAACTTAATTTCTACACAGTTACCTTAGTCAAAACTTTCTCAGTCTTAAAACTTCTGGCATACTGCACTCTTGGTGTCTTCTCTGAACTCTCTGCAGGGAGGGCTGTCAGCAATGGCAAGTCAGCCCTGAAATACCTGTTTCTTAGCAAGACTTGGAAGAACATGCTGAACAATTTTGTTGAGCAACATTTAGTTTCCACTAGAGATGCTTTTACAGATATCTTTTATTTGAGAAAGGGGTGGCAACATGATTATGTTTTTATGTTTTATGGCAATTAATGATTATGTTTTTGTCCTGTGCTCAAGTGAATTGAGAATCTTCATTATGGCTGTAGTTTGTCATAGAATTAAGGACTGAACAGAATCCTCACCAACACACAGGCTTTTCCCCTCGTCATCAGGCGAAGATAAATGTCTCAAAGTTGATGAGAGATTATCTGAGAGAAGGTTAGGGACACCCAAAAAGATAAGCTAAACATCTGCTCATCAACCTAATACTTTGTCCTCTTCTCAGCCTGTGCTCCTTCTTTGTCCCTACAAGTACATGACTCAGCTTAAAGAGCTATTGCATGTAAATATTAACCTTGAATTAGAATCTGCAAGGCCGGGAGAGGACAAGGGAAGCTTTTACTGCCAAGTGAAATGCAGCCTGTAAGGATGAAGTAGTAACAGGAGGCACAGCAATAGTTCAACTGCTGAACATGCTTCTGGGGCAGGTTGTTTCCTCCCCAACTGTTCTTGAAGGATCAGTCAGGTTCTTCTGGTTAGAAGGCTGTGTTAGTGAATTCAATACTTTAGTTTTTCAAGCTAAGAAAACAGACAAAAGGCTGAACAGCAATTCACACAATGAACACTAGCAAGAGCCAAAGTTGTAAAGCCAGATAATCTGTTATCAGTAAATTATCTTGACTGGCAGCCTTCTGCTCACATCAGGAGTATAATAGTGCATTTGTGTGAGCCCCTGTAGGGCTGACTGACATTTACATCCAACAACTCCCCATCTGATTATCACATTTTCTGCTTACTTCCTGTTTCAATGGTAGTAGCCTTGAGAAGCCCTAGGCATGCATCAATAAATCAGAAACATAAAAGTGCTAATCAGACCTTTGCTTTTTAAACAGGATCACTCATGCTGAGAAGTCATATAAAATATAATCTTAAATGT